CCCTCCCATCTTCATGCTCTCGAACCTTCACCCTTGGTCTTTTATTCTTCATCTACATATAAATCATCATTCGTTATCTTGTCTCATTTTGTTCAACGTTTTCTCTTTTTTTAATTCTCGTGGTCTTCTTCTCCCCCCCCCCCTTTTTTTCCCTTCTTCTTTTCGCGGATCTTCCTCTTATAGGAGGCCACTTTTGTTCTTTCTTTCTTTTGTTTCTCAGTTTGATTGCATATCTATTTATGAATGAGAAATGTATTATATAGTAGCTTGCACTTAAATCGAGCTTCATCATTGTCATGTTATTATTTTTGTAATGAAAAAGTGCCGTCGCCAACCATGGAGTCCATTTTCTTTCGATTTTTTTCCCTCTTTTATTGTTGTTGCATTTTAGCATTGTATATTGGCCTCGAATGTCGGAAAATGAGTTTGAATAATTGATACACATCACTATGCCTACATGATTATTTGCTTGCGCTTTCTCATCACTGCATTCATCAGTTTATAATCACCTACTTATCCTCATCGTAGAAATAAATTTGTTTTTTCGACAATTTTACTATATAATACTATATAATATGCCTAGGCTCATCGAATAGAAAATGATATATGTGTATGTTGTGCACGATTCATTGCACTTTTGATTTCCATGGCGATCATTCTTCTCATCTCATTTATATTTGTTACCAATGCCGAAAAATAACGGTTTCATTTTGGCAGGTTTGCAGTTCAGTGAATTATTTTTGGGAAATCTTAATACTTTGATGGTTATACAATATTTAGATTTGCACTGTTTGCCTAAATGAATTATTATAACAGAACGAATCCTCCGAACATGATGTCGATAATCAGAGTACATTGGTGAGCATTAACCAAAATAGTGATAGACTATCACTATTTTGTATTTATTTCGCGTGATTTTCTGTGTCTACATTTTGAATGTTTCTTCACAGAAAGGCATTAAATGTTCATGGAATATATTATGATAAAGCCATGAACCCATGAACGTACAAAACAAACTACTGTTTGGAAATCGTTCCTCTTTGCTAACCTTCTTCCAATCGCATTTAGCATTATTTGGTTTCAAAACACAATACACAATCATTACAAAGGATTCTCTCTTTTAGGTGTAACACATACTGTAAAAACAGCTCATTTTAATTTTACATCAACCAGCAGCAAAGCAGGAATAAAGGTAAAGGAAAACGTTTTGCAACGAAATGCAAATATTTGGATTAGAAAAGTCATATTTCTAGATGAAATGTAATCTCGACCGATGTTGAGTACATCGAGACCTATATCATCCCTATGAAAGCGTATCAGGACAATTACCCCCTGGGCAATCACCCCCAAAAAACTACTCCAAAGACAATCACCCCCGGAAAATTACCCCCCCCCCGGAGAATAACCCCCGAGGACAAATACCCCCAAGACGATTACCCCCCGGACAATATTAATCCCCGGAGAATTACCCCCCGAGGACAAATACCCCCCCCCCCCCCGAGAACAATTAACCAATTTTGAGAAGCGCTGGACAATTACCTAAAACTTACATCCTTCGTGGAACTTAAAGGAAATGTGTAGTAATGAGAAAAATAACGTGCTAAAGTACAGTATTTGAACGAATATGGGCAGAGGCGGCCCTCCCGGGGGGCAGGGGGGCATAGTGCCCCCCCCCACTTTTTCAGATACCCCCAAAATGCCCCTTTTTACATAGGAAAAGTGCCCCTTTTATTTTGTAAGAAGTGCCCCTTTTACATAGGAAAGGTGCCCCTTTTACTTTGACAAGTGCCCCTATTACTTAGTAAAAGTGCCCCTTTCCCCTTTTCACCTCTGACGAGTGCCCTTTTTATTTTTGACACGTGCCCCTTTTCCTTCGACATGTTCCCATTTTCCTTTGCAATAAATGTTCATTTTCCATTCTCATGAATCTTGAAATTATCTTGAATAAGTGCCCTTTTTAATCTCTAGTAAGTGCCTCTTTTCAGGTACGAGAAGTGCCCCTTTTCACTTTTAATAAGTGCCCCCTTCACCTCTGATGATTGCCCTATTCAAAACTGAGAGGTGCTCTTTTTACTTTGACAACTTCCCCTTTTTTCCTTTGTAAGAAGTGCCCCTTCTCCTTTTAATAACTACCCCTTTTTAAACTCGGATGAGCGCACCTTTCATTTTAACATGTGCCCCTCTTATTTTCTAATAAGTGCCCCTTTTCCTTATGATAAGTGCCCCCATTAAAAAGAGAGAGCTCCTTCCCCTTCTCATAACTTCCCCTTTCCCTTTCTAATAAGTGCCCGTTTTCCTTATGATAAGTGCCCCCATTAAAAAGAGAGAGCTCCTTCCCCTTCTCATAACTTCCCCTTTCCCTTTCTAATAAGTGCCCCTTTTAAACATCTGAACGGTGCCCCTTTTCATTCAACAAATGCACATTTTCTTTATTATAAGTGCCCCTTTTACATTTTCATAAGTGCCCCTTTTCATATCTGGTCAGTGCCCCTTTGCAACTTTGATAATTCCCCTTTTAATAATGATACGTGCCCCTTTTCCTTTCTAATAAGGGACCTATCCCCTTTTCACCTCTTATAAATGACCCTATTAAAATCTGATGGGTGCCCCTTTTCCGTCCACAAATGCCTATTTCCCATTTTCGTAAACGCCTCCTTTTCATCACTGGTTAAGTGCCTCTTTTCAAGTGAAAAAATGCCTCATTTTCACCTCTTATAATTATCCTTTGTACTTATACACGTGCTCCTTTTCTTTTCTAATAAGTGTCTTATCCCTTTCGATAATTGTCCCCTTTTCATGTAATCATTAAACGTGCCCCTTATTTAAAGCGACTAAGAGCAGTTTCCCCCAAAGTTCGCTCGCTGCGCTCGCTCGCATTTAAAGATTATATAATTATGTTACTTATCAAAGGTCTTTTCAGTCTTCCGTTATGAGAATGTGCTTATAACCCCATCACGATTGGCTTTTTTCCTCTTTATAAGATGTAATTTTTCGCACTGCGACCTCACAGATCTTTAAAAATTTTCTCGCTCGCTTCGCTCGCTCGTAAATGCATATTCAGGCATCACACCCAACTGTAAAGTTTGATGCTTAAGCGATATCTTGTATGATGTATGAAGAGAAACAAATATTGAAATCACCCCTGATAATGTAATCACAATGTAGGGGTATATACCAATGTCTAAAAATTGTATATTTTCGCTTTGAGATTTCCCACTGTAGGTGCCCTTTTTTTCCAGAAAGTGCCCTTTTTTGTTGGTGCCCCCCCCCCCCCACTTTGAAAGTCGCTCGGCCGCCCCTGAATATGGGTTCATGCATGGGATCTTATGAGCTCGTAGCCATCTCTCAATGTGTCGGATTGTTTTTTGCTAGTGAATCCTGATTGTCAACGGGGGTAGTGGTCGTCGGATGTAATTCCCCGGGGGTAATTTTTCGGGGGGTAGTGCTCCTCGGGGCCATTCTCCGGTAGGATAGTTTTCCGGGGGGGGGGGTAATTTTCTGGGGGGGGGGTTGATTGCCCAGGGGGTAATTGTCCTAGAACCCTACGAAAGCACTATAACATATCCTACCATATATACTATCAGAATACTAGGAATTCATTTCTCTTCATTATAATTAAATAAATATTCCAAATACAGATATATATTTTGCACTCTATACAGGATACGTATATATATTATATCTAAACGAATCCCACTCTAAAAATGTAATAAAATGATGAAGGTATATTGATGTTCACACAGCAAACTATATCAGAAGATTAGATCTTCGTCATCGTCAGTAACACCTATGAACAACAAATTTGAAGAAAATAAGTTATCAATATACTGAAATATTATGTACAAGCAGTGTTTATGATTAACATACAATTGATAGTGATTTTATACAAGTGTCTCTAATCGGTTTACCTAGGTAAATAATTCGATAATTCAAGTTACACTTTTGCATTCTCAAAAATTTACGAGAATGCATTCAGATTCCGTACATTATAACATTGGACTATAATGTTTCATGCTTTTTATGTGGCGAAGATATGGAAATCTTAGTTATGAGTATGGACAATTTGATAGCAAATGAGAGTTAGATAGCTAGAATCCGAGCAACCATGATATCAATTCAAGGAGTTTATAATTATCATGCATACAGACTTTTTTTTACTAACAATGTCTGAAAATTACGGTTCGTATATCGTGGTTTACATGGTTCCATCAATTTGATATTGGAAAGCTAAACAGAATATAAAAAGAAAATATCAATTACAAGCAAAACCTCAGCGAGACAAATAGGAGTAACCATGGAAGAATCCTGGATCAATGAACAGGTTTAGACCCACAACATCGTGTATTAAAGTAAAGTATAGTAAAGAGACATAACGTGAACAAGAAAGAATGTATCATTTTAATCGCTCCTCTAAAACAACCCCGATAACTTCAGCATTAGCCTACATTCTATAAAAATATATGCTGCAATAAGTAGAAATGTGACTTTCAAGCATTCTTCCTTTACTTAGATGAGTTCACTTCGATAATAAGTGTATCTACAGCAGGGCAGCAAGTGCCAGTATAATCCAAAGTGGTGGTGAGCGAGAGATTTTAAATGTTCGAAAATAAATATTCTACTAGCAACATTTACAACGCAATTTTTCTAGCAAACTTACCCTCTTTGTTTCCTGAACTGTGCGCAATTAGCAACCGTTGCGCCCCATTTTAAAGTTTTTAAGTTCGCAGGTTTGGAATAAATTTGTCATTAATTGGCAAGGGCTTAAAAGCTGGAAAATCGCAATTTGGTTTCTCATACGGCTGTTTCATCTTCGCCTGTCACATAATTATATGCAGTCTTATTAACACTGCAAAATCTTCAACATGCACTTCTATCTAAATATTCATGACCTGACACAAAGATTGAATATTTGAATTAACCTAATCGATTACAAAAGGTTTAGCTAGAGTATGCGTGAATGACCGTCCTAGAAGAATTTTTTCAATAAAGATATCGGAATCTCATGCACAGTAAACTCCAGCATCTTTAGAATGATCGCAGTCGTGATTGTCCCATCCGCCATTACTGCAATCAGTCAACCTGGATTCATTTCCCGAACAGTCGACATGCTCAAGGTGTATCGGGCCAGATCCTGGTCTATACGCAGCCCTCTTCCTGGCTGCACCAACATTGCCTGAGAATCCAAGCTGTCGACAAACTACCCTCGCATCAAGGTCATCCCAACCGTCTAAACAGATGGTCCCCCATTGACCTTCATGGAAGATCTCAACCCTGCCTCCAATTGCACCGGAACCGTCAACCAGGCGGATTTCTCCCTCAATTTCATCTTTCAAAATATCTAAATAAAAAGAATAAGACCTATAGTATGAGACTGTCCGAAAATAGACACCCCATTTTACCCGTATGATTTCACCCCTCATTGCCAAAAAGGGTAATAGCTCGACCGTAGTCGTCGGGTCTCGCCCCGAGAGTTTCCACCTGCTCTCCTTAATTAGGGGTCAACGTTCAACATGGCTAAATGCTATTTTTGTTGACCTTAAAATTGAATCAGGTTACTGTGTGTAAATACCTTGGGATATACATTGATAACTCGTTAGATTGGGATAAACATGAAAAAAAATTGTGTAAAAGTGCTGTGAAGAATTTGTATTTGTTAAAAAGAATAAGACATTGCATCTCGCAAAAAAAACCGCATTACCTTTTCATAAGTCAATTGCTAAAAGTAAATTAGATTATTGTGATGTTAGTTTGAGCATATTAGTAGTGGCTTTCACCCAGTAAATATGATCGATTGATCGATCTGTAATTGAAAAACAAGTCAGAAAAAAATCTTGGAACCAGCGGGATTTGAACCTGCCATCTACTGCTTGCCGGGCAACGACTCTACCATTAAGCCACTTAATATGTTCAAACTATTGAAATTTCTCCCAGAAAGCATTACATTTACAAAAAAAATATTGTGATGTTGTTTGGAATAATACGAAGGAACAAAATATTCAAAAACTACAAATTTTACAAAATAGATTATAAGATTATAAAACAGTAATAAGAGTGGAAAATAGATACTCAACTAGACTTTTGTATGAACATTTTTTTTGGATACCTTAGTTGAGAGACGTAACAAACATGTTCTATGTATAATGTATAGAATTGCAGACCAATTAACCACGGATTATATTTTAAGTAAATTTAATTTTAAATAAACTTCCTATAGCTTAAGAAATGCTCCTCGTATATTTATTTTACCAAGAATTAAAACGTGCTTCAAAAAGAAAAGTTTAAGTTATTATGGTGCAAAACTGTGGAATGAATTGCCGGTAGAAACTAAATATAAACCAACTTACTATGCTTTTGAAAGGAGTTTATAATATCATGTTTGACTTTTGATAGCAAACAAAACAACTGATTTGTTTTTCTTCTATTGTTTTTCTTCCATTTGTTTTCTCTGTTCTTTTTCTTTCTCTAAATTAGGGCTTGTTTGGATTTCTTGCTTTCTAACCTATTTTTATATTATACACTGTTGGTCATAAAAGTGGAATAATAATTTTTACCCCAATTATGGAATGATTTTGACAATGATTTATTCATAATAGATCTAAATAATAGTATACATTCTCAGATATTATTGAATAGTAGTTTGCGAGTGTTTGTTTTGCTTGACTGCTTAACCATGTGTGTGCTACTATGCTAACCAACTAGGTGACCTACGTCCTTAAGTCATAACTGACAGTAATGAGGATGATGTTTTATTTAATATGTAAACCATGTTAATCTATATTGTATATTTCTTTGTAACGTTATGATTGCTTTTATATATGCACGACCATGCAGAAAAACAGCCTTTCGCTGCAGTATGCCACCGTGCTAAAATAAAATAAACAAACAAACAAGCAAATATTGAAGGAGAGAGAGAGAGAGAGAGAGAGAGAAGGGGGGGCAGGGTGTCTTGTGTTGTACTTGTGTCTGAAGAAGACATATATACACCTGATAATACAACCCGGGGCAAAATACATTCATTTTTCATTTTTAACAAATCTTACTGGACAAATCATCACATAATATTCAATTCCTATCTTTTGACGCCTCAGCGGCTGCCGAGAACAATAATGTTGCTACACGATGTAGCAAAGTGAAATTGAATAGAGAGAGAGAGATAGAGAGAGAGAGAGTCATGGGGAGACGGCAAGATAAAATTGGAGAGAGAGAAGGAAAGTGAGAAAATATATAAAATAGAAATCGAGAGAAATAATAGGCGAAGAGATATATATATATAGAGAGAGATAGAGAGTGTGAGAGAGAGAGAGAAAGAGAGAGACATAGAGGGAGAGAAAGAGAGAAAGAGAGAGAGGTAGGAAGAGAGAGAGAGAGAGAGAGAGAGAGAGAGAATGGTCGGGCTGGTATGATACTGAAGTTGTCTTGCAGTTGTTGTAGTATGTGAATTGATGTAAAACAAAATGATATAAACACACGATGAGTCGATGTTCGCTTCATAAACAAAGAAATTTAATTGAAAGGTAGATTGGAGAGAGAGAGAGAGAGAGAGAGAGAAAGAGAGAGAGGTGGAAAGAGAGAGAGAGATGAAAAGAGAGATAGAGAGATGGAAAGATAGAGAGAGAGAGAGAGAGAGAGAGAGAGAGAGAGGGGGAAAAGTGACATGCTTTCTAGTCTTGTTGTTGTAGTAGGATTTGATGATATAAACACATGATTCGATTTTTGGGTAAAATACGTTTTATTTCATATACAAAAAAATTTAATTGAAAGATAGATAGAGAGAAAGAGAGAGAAAGAGAGAGAGAGAGAGAGAGAGAGATGGAAAGAGAGAGAGGGATGCAAAGAGAAAGAGAGAGAAAGAGAGATAAAGGTAACATGCTTACTTGTAGTCGTAGTAGAATTTGGTGTGGTCGAGTCCGATATAGGTTCACGAGAAATGGTGGATGCTGAAAACGAATTTAAGTTGAACGAGAACGTTCAGATTTCGAGCGATAATAAAAATTAAAGATGTGAACTTTTACTCGTGAACATAAGATTTTAGACAGCAACAGATAAGTGCATCACATAAGTTGGGCAAGAAGGGGTAGGCGGGCATGCGGGCATCTTTCAAAAACTAGTGACCGGTAGGCGGGCATGGCTAAAATCACGACTCCAATGTCGACTAATCAGATGGCTAGATTTCTAAAGAGAGGAATACAATTGATTCTGGATAATAAAAGATGATTGTAAACACATGATTATTTGATCTTGGGGGAAAATACGTTTCATTTCACATATTGATAAACCTCAAGCAAGAAAATTCAAATTGTGAACTACTAATTTATCGCCGCAAAACCGTGCATCGAAGCTAGTCTATAGTATACCTGAATCATGTATATCCATGTCTGTAGAGAGGAAGAACATACTACTAATAAAGATATGCCCTTCTTGTAGAGCGAATATCACAAAGTGATAAAGTTTCTATTTGCTTCCCCAAAGAATATAATCTATTTCGAGGCCTATTCAATTGATGCCTTCAGCGAAAAAATACTTTGAGGAAATGCATAGAAAGCGAGTAGTAAGTTAAGTTGACCTAGTGGGTAATAAATGGATCTATTTCAAGAACATGAAGTAATACGTAATTGTGAGAAATTAGAACGAGAGAATAATGGTAGGTTGCTAATTAAGTTCTTTGGCAAAATTTATGACATAATGACAAAGAACAGAAAATATTTACCAATGAAAGGTGTTTACCTATATAAATCCATATTTTGCTTAGTATATTTTAGGTATGTAAAGATAACAAAAATACCATGATAATAGAATGTCGATTATGCAATTTTGATCCTATATCATTAAATATTATGAAATTATGTTTGGGATTTGTGTTGATAACCTGAGTAAATACTGGGGGAAAAAGAACCAAGCTACGAGCAATTATCATCTCATACTTCATATGAGAATCATTCTTTTTGGGGTAATAGTTTCACAAAGCCGGTTTGGAAAATTGAATGAGAAACGACTAAATAAAAAACTCTCGCAATTTAATACAAATGTTACAGGAAAATTCATCACATTTTATTTAAACCCTTGTTGTGAGTACCGAGAACAAATTCTTTACTGAAGTTTTCTTACGAGAAGTTGTGGTAGGATGTGAGGTGGTGGATTCCGTCGTGGACATCGTTGTGGTGTCTTGTGTTGTACTTGAGTCTGAAGAAGAAATATGATATATACACGATATATACACGAAATACATGAAATTCAATTCCTAGCTTTTGACGGATGAGCGGCTGCCGAGAACTATTATGTTGCTTCACGTTGTAGCAAAGTGAAAGTGAAATTGAGAGAGAGACATAGAAGAGACTGCAAAATAAAATTGGAGAGAGAGAAGGGAAGTGAGAAAACATATAAAATAGAAATCGAGAGAGAAAGCAGATTCGGAGAGAGAGAAAGAGAGAGAGAGACAGAGAGACAGAGAGAGAGAGGGTGAACGAAACAAATTGAGAAAATGGTAAACGAAAAGGGTGAGCATGGTTAGAGAGAACGAAAGAGAGAGAGAGAGAGAGAGAGATGGTGTAAATGAAGTTTTCTTACGAGTCGTTGTGGTAGGATGTGAGGTGGTGGATTCCGTCGTGGACATCGTTGTGGTGTCTTGTTTAGTATTTGATTCTGAAAAAGAAATACGATATATACACCTGATAATACTTTCCGAAGGTAAAATACATATAAATTCATATTTACCCAAATTTAACAAATCTTACTGGACAAATCATCACATGAAATTTGATTCCTAGCTTTTGACGCGTGAGCGGCTGCCGAGAACAAGAAGTTGATTCACGTTGTAGAATATTGTATACACGTGAAAGTGAAAGCGAAAGAGAGAAGTATTCAGATACGGAAAGAAACAAAATCGGAAATTGAGTAGAATAAATAGAATATATCATTTCTTGTTTTCTTCCAAAACAAAAGAAGAAACTTTCCATCCAGGTGAATCATATTACATAAAATTACACAACTTATACAAATTTTACAATATAAATACATTCATATCAAAATATAAAATGTATAAATGTGTATGAACAAATATTATAATACATAATTATAATACAAATTACATAGAACATAAGGAAAAGGGGAAGAAGACTGAAAGGAAGAAATAGAGAAGAATATAGACTGAGGGATTATAGGAGAATGTAGCCCCAGGGGATAGTAACTCCAAAAACCGACCCCCCCCCCCCCCATCCCGGGCTTCACTCTCCTTCAAACAAGTACGAAGAGACAGAGAGAGAAGGAGAGAAATGGAAAGAAGAATCATATTACATAAAATTACACAACTTATACTGTAGAGAGAGTCGTGTTAAAACAAATCCAGGAGTATTTGTCCGAGCATAACCTATATTCTGAGATGCAATCAGGATACCGGCCACATCATAGTTGTGAAACTGCCCTGCTAAAAGTTTCAAATGACATTCTACTTTCCCTGGATAAAGGCGATGAAGCGATTCTGTTGCTGTTGGACTATTCTGCAGCCTTTGACACCGTGAGTCATGATGCCCTTCTAAGCCGTTTGCATGATAGATTTGGACTCAAAGACACAGCCTTGGAATGGTTTCGATCCTACCTCACTAACAGAACTCAGTCTGTTTTTGTTAGCGACTGTGAGTCACATGTCAGCTCTTCGAACTTCGGAGTACCCCAAGGATCTGTTATCGGTCCGTTAGCATTTACACTTTTCTCGTCTCCATTAGAGGATGTCATTAAACACCATGGCATATCGTGTATGACTTATGCAGACGACACTCAAATTTACCTCGTGCTAAAGAAGGATAACCATGATGTTGCTCTACAAAGACTCAGTGCATGTTTTACAGACATTAAGAATTGGTCCATACAGAATGGATTGAAATTAAATGAAAATAAGACGGAGTGTATACACTTTATTAGCAGACATAGGACTTGTAGTCCGATTGATGATGTATGTCTTGATGGTACTGACATAGAATGTTCTACAGGTGCTAGAAACCTTGGGGTCACATTTGATAATAATCTATCTCTGAAGACTCATGTGAACAATGTATGCAGATCTGCCTCATTTGCGTTGCATAAAATCGGTAGCATCCGTCAGTTTCTTACTAAAAAGACCACCCAGAGACTTGTTCAGTCACTGGTCATGTCTCGTATTGACTTTTGCAACAGTCTTCTGTATGGTCTTCCTGATGCACAAATTAACAAATTGCAGAGAGTACAAAATTCAGCTGCTAGACTTATTGCAAAGCGTCGTTCACGTGAGTCCATCACTCCACTGTTGAAGGAGCTTCACATGCTAAGAGTCCGGGAACGAATTGATTTTAAGATCCTCTTGCTGACTTTCCAATGTTTGACAAAAACAGCTCCAGTCTACCTTCAAAGGCTGATATCAGAATACTTACCCTCCCGCAACCTGCGCTCAAACAAGAAATCACTCTTAATAGTTCCTGCCACCAATACCCAGTCTTATGGTTCCCGAACTTTTTATGCAGCATCCCCTCAACTCTGGAACAATTTACCTCAATGTATAAAACAAGCAGATTCAACAGACAAATTCAAATCCATGTTAAAAACCTACTTTTTTGTTAAATAGCCTTTTTCATTTGCATATGCAGCCCCCTCGATTTTCCACTATCTATTATGTATAACTTAATATTTGGCTGTAATTCCTTCTCTTTCTATTTTTCTTAAGCGCTTAGAGACATAATTTGTGATAAGCGCTATACAAATGTTGTTAATTATTATTATTTAAGGGGAACAAGAAAGGAAAGTAACAGAAAGAAAGGGAGAGAGAGAGAGAGAGATAAAGAGATGAATTAGAGGAAGATAAGAGAGAGTCAGGAGAGAAAGGAAAGAGGGAGAAGTACATGGCATATAAAAAAAAAGGGTTAAAAAAGTTATTGGGAGGGCAGTTGCGCTGCTGCTCAGAGGAAAAGTACACACAGTAATTACAAATGATCGATTTCCAAGTACATGGCTTCGTAAATAGCTCGTAATAATCCGTAAGTATCGTAAACTGCTCACAACAACATGTAACCATCCGATTTTACTGCTCGCAAGAATCCATAAAATGACTGCTAACAATTTTTTAACGATATGTTACTGTTAGTTTACGATTTGTTTATGAATTATTTTCGGATTATTACGAGTGCTTACGTGTTGTTTACGATTTCATTTGGGTCGTGTTACGATGACTGTACGGATTGTTACGAGTTATTACGAGAACTTAACGTGTAGTTACGAGTACTTTACGAAGAGATACCTATACTTTACGTGTTCTTACGTAATATTTACGATTTGGGGGAAAGGCATAAAAGCTGCAAAGCTGCAACTAACTCGTGGAATTTCGCCGTAGGTACATCGTATAAGAAATCTTTATAATCTGTCATAAATCGTAAATTAGCTCGAAATAACTTGTAACAACTCTTAAATTGGTCGTGAAAGTGGCCAAATCGTAAGGATCCACGAAAGATCCGTGCTTTTGTGCGATCGGTAAGGACTCGTAAGAAAAAAAATCCGTGTATATGAAAACCAATTAAAATAAATTACTAAAATAAGAAATCACCACAGTCATGATTAGTGGGAAAAGACGTACAAAATAGAACTCGAAAGAGAGAGAGAGGGAGAGAAAGTGAGGAAGAATGAAAAATTATAACGTAATTGGTGAGCATGCTGACATAAATGAATCAGAAAGAAAGAGACAGACAGAGATAGAGAAAGTAAGAAAGAGAAAGAAAGAGAAAGAAGGCGAGAGAAAAAGAGAGAGAAAGAGAGAGAGACTGAAATAGAAAAAGAGAAGGAGAGAGGGAGAGAATTGGAGAAAGAGAGAAAAGAGAAATGGGGAAAGAGAGATTACAAAAGAAAAATCGAGAGAGAAAGGGTAAGGTAGAGAGAGGGAGAGAGAGAGACAAAGAAAGACAGACAGTACGAAGGGCTAATGGGGGGGGGGGTGAAAAGGGGTGGGGGCAGAGAGGCAGAAAAGAAGGGGTCTGGTAATCGGTTGATTATGATGTAGAGTAAGAGTAATGCTTCTTTTCCTTTGACAAAAGTGATCATTTTACTCGAAGTCAGGTTACTAGCAAAAATAAGTTCTATAGATAGTTTATGTTTCGTCTTGTCAGATAATTATTGTGATTGTTATTATTCTCACCTCTTTTGCAACGTTTCCCTCGATTTCCGGCAGAGCAGTGGCATTTGAAGTTTTTCATAGTCTCCTCACACCAGCCGTTTCGACAGGGATTTTCGCCACAATCTGTAGTAAAAAGAGGGGACAGGACAATGCAACAATAGCCGCGGCGGCCGTGCGGTCTAAAATATCTCCGGCCAATAACAATAATAGGACCGCCGCTGCATTCCCACGGTCACATACGGGAGCGTTATGTGAGGGTAGCGCCGCACAGCGTATTTTGAATTTGTGGAGCGACAGAAATTCTATGACTGCCGTACGGCCTTTGAAGTGATGACGCACGTTCGCCTTAGCCCTTAGGGCGTCCCTGCGGCGGCCGTAGCGTTTTGACAAATACTGAGGCAGACGCTAGGTAGCCGTAAGGTGCTCGCAAAGCGGCCGAAGGGGGACCTTCTCATGCACACACATTCACATTCACTCACATCCCCACAAAATAATTAATTGTTTTTATATTTGCTGTTATGCCTTTCGACATAGTCTGTATAATTTTCTGGTTAAAAAATTGCTTTTTCAACTATTATCAAACATAACTGTAAACCGTCTGGTTTAGCACATGACACCCCCCCCCCCTTCCCCCCCCCCCCCCCCCCAAAAAAAAATAGAATGTCATCTTGCATTCCTCATTGAAAACACACCTTCACACAATGACAAAAATGTCCACCGGAAATGCGTTGTCAGAGGACCCTAGAGCCGAACATCACAAAAATATCCACACTTCAAGTCCGTCCCCACTCCAGGATCGGACCGCATGCGTTTTCCCAAAATGTCCGGTAACGGTAAAGGGGTACTTTTCACGCACCAAAGTCCGGCTCGTAGTACACAAAATCCGGCCCGTATTGACTTTACACACCGGACCTAGGGGGGTGTTTTCAAAAGGAGGGAACATGCATATACGCGTATCCTAAATAACACTGAGTGGGGGGGGGGGCGAGCTTCAAGCCCACGTACCGAACTTTTTCGACAGAAAGTGCTATGAACAATGACAGGTTTCTGAAGAAAAAAACATTACAAAAACATCCAAGTACCCGATGACCAAAATCTACTACAAAAATAATGTTTTTACTTCACGCTGCTAGATATAACTCCAAATTGCTCTAATGCAATGGCTTTAGTCGGGTAGCAACTCGGCGCGCTGACCGAAATTAGCCAAAAAAATAATTTTCTGTATTGTACTTGTAAGGTCAACTATAAGGTATTGCAGCCGTGTTGATGTACAAAATATTGTCAAATATCTTTCTGTAATGACATAAACGAATTATGCCATTCTGAAATTACTGCTGGTACTCAAATTTATCCCTTACTGGATCCTGTAACTTGATAATCAAATATTTGCCCCGGTTTTCATGTTGCAGAAGATGTATACTAGGTTGAACCAGGGAATTCCAACTCCTGGTTGAACTTAGAGCTTCAGTTATTGTAGATCAATAATTATTGTCGCCGGAACCTGTAATATATCACTCATTGAGTCATTGCAAGGATTATGTAACCTTTTTTTTTAACTGTTTGAAGTTTAGAACACCCTCACCTCACGAACATAGAACAAAAATATCGAAGTTTTAAGCTTTTGACAGTCTTTCGTGTTTTGTGATGTACAGTGACCTTGCTTTCTCTTTTTTGACAAAGGTGTTTCATGGACTGGATGAAGTCAAACCATCTTCGGGAGAGGGGGCTTTCGGCTGCTCCTCAGGCTATACAACCCGACTGCTTTGGATAGACTATCCACCTTGTTGCCAATGTCTTAAACATGGTCTCTAACATAATTATATATCGAATCTTATGACACTTTTGGCAATGATCACATTTTCACACTTTTCACACTATCACATTTTCAAAAGAATTGAACAGTAGAACAGATTATATGTTTTATCATGTTTATAGCAGGCAAAGAACGACTTACCAGGAAATCTGCACACTCTGTGTCCGGGTGGAATCCCCAGTTTACTCTTCCTTCTCGGAGAGGCAGCTTCCGCAGATGTGTAAGGGATGAGCTTTGGAATGGTCTGTACCATGCTGCCATTAGAATGCAGTTTCTTCTTACATTCGTTGAACATTGGTAAGGTGTAATTCAGCCCTAATCCGTCCAAACAACAAATGCCCGTCTTCTTGTTCTTATTCGAAGAAACGAGAGAGGCTTTGAACGAGATATGAACAAGGAGATAATTTAAAATTGATCAATAAGTATAAATCTCTTGTGGTATTAACCGGCAAAATTTCAGTTTAAACTGTATAAATAGGGATTGTATTGGGAAAAGTGCATCAAACAATTTTTCAAATTTAGTACTCCATCCTTCCTATAATTTGTGTGCCAGAGTTGGTAAAAGAAAAATTAGATCCTGACAAAAACTCAATATTTTAAGTTTAGGTATTTTTCGCATGTTTTAATGGCCCGTCATTTTTTATCCATGATTTACAATCTTCGATAACTTTAAGTTTGCTAATGCGTGCTTTCGCGTGTTTTTTTGTATTTTTGCAGTTGGAAAAAAAGTATAAAATTACAAAAGTTTCTGTTCGCTTGTTCAACTCATTACACATTCAACAATTGATAAGAAATCATTGGAAGAGACAGCGAACATTTGCTGAGATATCCTGATATTTCATGCGCTCTTTTATCTCAACGCCTGGTCAACAGTTGCAGATTAGCGCATAACTTTTCGGCGGCTTGGAGCATGCATGTGATCAAAGGAGAGCGGCTTGATTCCACTCCTTCTTTATCACCTCCCTGCTCATATTTTGTATGTTCTTTTTTGACATGTATTGAAAGCGACAATTATATAAATAAATAAATAAAAAATAATAACGACAACATTTTGATTAACAATGTCATTATCTATGTTTCATTGTATTTATGTTAAATACCACTACTACTGCTACTACTACCAGGGGCGTACGCAGGGGGGTGTTTTGGGGGTTCAAACCCCCCCCCTTTGGTATTTTAATGTATGTAAACCCCCCTAAAAAAAAAAATTATACCCACGGCTAACCTAAATAAGGTGACCTTACCCCCCCCCCCCCCCCATACGTAAAAAAATGTCAAATTTTGAAATTTTGAGACCAAAAAAAAAAAAAAAAAGTGTCCGCTTACCCCCCCCCCCCCCCCCCCCCCCCCCCCCCCCCCCCACTGAGCGACTTTTCTGCCGGCTGAGTCGTTGCGATTTTTTATGGCCTCCAAAAAACCCCCCCCCCTTGAAAAAATCCTGCGTACGCCCCTGACTACTACTATACTACTACTACTACTACTACTACTACTACTACTACTTCCAATACTTCTACTACTATCAATGTTATAATAATGAAAATAATAATATCGATAATAATAAATCATCGTTGACCAGAATCATACGTACCGAAGGATACACATGTCAGGAAAACAAGGATCACGCCTCGTATGAGATCTTTGTCCTTTACATGTGATTAAAAGAAATGGAAAAGGCGTCATATTAGATGATGATAGGCTCAAAGTTCGATGTTCAAAATGTTAAATAATACTGATAAATGTAGCACAGTTACCTGAATTGAGACTGACCTACATGTACATAAGAATACAAAGGCTATACATGTGATATGATGCTATTTCAGGACAATAAACTCTACTTCTATGCAGATAAATCGTGTAAATAGACATTCATCTTCGAGACCTTAGTCCCCTTAAATAGGCCATTTTCGTAATATAACCACATTTAAACTTAAGTGCCCCGATATGAATCATTTAATTCATCTGGTTATAATTGTATTTCAATAGTCAGAACGCGAATTGCATAGATGTAAGGTAGGGCAAACCCTAATGTTTGTCCTACTTTGTCCTACTTGTTGCTATAGCAACAACTAATGTATCCAATTTGAATTCTGACTATTAAGATACAATAATTCGTATCGAAGCACTTTACAGGAATCCCTTTGGTTACATTACAAAATGACCTATTACAAATATCACGAACTTTGGATATTCTTAATATAACAGACAAGGCAATAATTTAAACTACTATCTGAAGTAAAAGTATCATCCATTAATACGAATATTTATCAGTGTAACAACTTAAACGGGAAAATAAAAACAGCCTACGTATATATCCACGATCTTTTAAACATTTTCTTAAATTGATATCGCACTTGTATCACTCATAACAGGCACATGTATGTTCAGCTATTTTCAGATGAAAGTAATAGTTGATACATTTTCCTTTCATTCATTAAGAAATTTGCTAATTTTTGCAGGGGTGGCGGAGCATCTTTCACAGTGGAGACACCAACAAAATGGGCTTTTTTTTCTTTAGGGAAAAAAGGGGACCTAAAAGGGGCATCCAAAAGCAAAACAAAATCATTTTGATACCCCTACATTCCAAATATTAATTCATCAAGGATCATCTTTCAAATTGTGTCGTTTCTCTCCTTACGTGGCTCATGATACTGCTTCAGTATCATACTTTGCCATTTTGTGTGATGATCTGAATATCTTGCCAGGTCGCATTACGAACGATGAGATCTTATATACTACAAAGAATGAATAATCCGGATGCTGTATTAATTAAGCATATTCTCAAAATAATGAATGAATATGACCTTTAACGTTACAAGATTATATGAATTATGAATGCTAGCGAGCATAGCGACTGAGCCTATTCAGAAATTGGAGGCAAAATAATGATCTCAGATGCTTAGATTAGGGGCATTACACGTGAGGGAGGTTATGAGATATGTGTTGTTAGGGGATAGACTATGGGTGACAAAACATCTTGTCTTAGTAGCCTATTATAAAGAGCAGGGGCATTCGATATCGGTGAAAACGAACACTATTCCATTTAATAACAGAGGCACAGTTCGTTCTTATAAAATTATGGGCATTATGCCCCCATGTCCCGTCTCTTTGTAGAATAGGAAACCTGTTACTATGATAATAGAAATATAGAGTACTTGTTACTACACAATGCTTAAAATAGTTTTTGAGTTGCCTGCCAATACCACACAAACTAAGCACACCTCGTTTATTCGAAAGATTTCACCATAATACACAATATTTCAGAGTTTTTTTTTTGTAGCGGTTACCTCTAAATCGAAGAGGGCGCCCAGAAATTGGCCCTTTTTACGAAAAATTGTATTTTGTTAAAAATATTTCAAGGAAACCTTGAAAAACAGTGGGTTTGGTGTCAAATTTTTCTACATTTTATACCCATTTGACGAAATTGGGATTAATTAATATCGCAATATATTTACATGCTTTCAATCTTAAAATTGAGATAGATATTGTTTTCTTACTGAATTCGAAAACCGAAATCGATTTGATAAAGACGATTGCTTTTGGTCTATTTATAAAATGATTACTTTCCGTAATAAGTATGAGTATGGTTATAGAGATTTGAATTTGGTTTATTCATTTAAGAGAGAAATGACTAACATGATACAAATAAATGAACATTTGAAAGTACAAAATATTAAATTTCCTGCGAATTTGCTCAGTTATATTTGAACAAATATTATGTGTATTATTGATGTTCCATTGTTTTGTTAAATTGTAATTGAAATTATGTTATTGTTTAAATATTTAATAAACACCTCATTAGAGGCAAAGAGAAAAAAAAACATCGCAATATATCAAATCGAAGAGGTGTCTTTTTTCGTAACTTTCCAGGAATTTGCCCATTTACAAGGACAATATCTTGTGCAAAGGAGAGGCATATTTGTATCTATTTTTACGTAAAAATTTATTATAGCTAGTTAACCGTATGTTTATACGTGTATGTGTGTAAACGTGTTTGGTGTGTAAATCGAGTTTTAGAGATACATTTTAATTAAAACCTCAAATTACTATGGGTTTGGTGTCAAAAAATTATCGTCAATAAATTCCCTTCTAGTTGATATAAATTCACTGAGTTATATAGTGAGTCATGAAAATGATGTTGATTAATCACAATTCCGTCAACGTTTGTTTCAAAAGGTAGATAATACGATTCTCTTTGATATGACACATAACCCATTATGTTTCAAGGTTTTCTTGAAAATAGTTTTCACAAAATACTATTTTTTCATTAAAAGGGTCGCTTTTTTGGACACCACCTCCGGTTATGGGCTGACCGCTACAAATAAATAACAATATATATCTGAAATATTGTGTAATAATAGATAAAATCTTTCAAATAGAATGCAAGTCTTTCGTCTATGTCTGATCGTCAACGAAACGGAGTTAAGTCTTTTGTCAATTCCGTTTGTTGCTACGGCAGGCAGCCAATGAAAACGAATTCGTTTAATCAAATTATGGAAATGCAAGCATATCACTTTAAACAAACAGAACTTTGCTATTCTTGGCTCATTTTTCCTGATTGAGGTGTCATATGAAAGGGCAGAAACTGAACTTTCTAGAAATGTGAATTTTTCTTCGAAATTCAGATACCGCCCGCCAAATGACTTTTTGGTTTCCTTCTTTCTTAATTTTAATCACTTATGCGTGAAATATGCATCATATGAGTTGTATCAAATGAATAAGGAGGATCTAAGCTTTACGAATATGTATCATTTATTAATTACAATTGTGATTAAATTAAGTTATGATAAAACATCGATAATTCTTGGTTTCGTTTTTCTGAGTCGCACTGTATATTGAACAAATTAATAACTTAATTCAATTATACCCCATTCACAGTGGCCTCAAACACCGCGACAGCAGCGGGACTGTCCCGCTGCTGTCGCGGTGTTGTCTTCAGTGTGAAGGCTCGGACCCGTTATAAACTATCGCGGGATAACACCGCCTAGCGATAACGCCGACACAAACTATCGCTAGGGACGCCTAGCTACAGCAGCGGGACAGTCCCGCTGCTGTCGCGGTGTTTACTCAGTGTAAAGGCTCTCCGCTATAACACCGCGACAAACACGTGTGATTTGTTTACTTACCTATCACTGACCTCTTTTCTACAGCAATGGGGAACATAAAGTGAAATAGAAATAAAGTAACCAGTGGATTCAAATTGATTTTATTATTATGTAGGTATTATAATTATCCAAATAAAAATATTTCACACTTCAAAAAATTAAAATATTCTGACTGGAAGCAATAAAAATGCTAGTTTTTTAAAAAGTAATATGATCGAGGATACAAAAAGCAACTTGACATGTT